TCTCTGACCAACAAACCATGGCTGAGCAGCAGGATTGCACTGTATCTGCAGGGCTGCCAGACCCACTCTCAGACCATGTGGATGAACAAGAGCGCTGACTTGTGGCTACACAGACACCTAGGCCATTGTACAGCATAGGTGAAAGGTACTGTAGGACAAAGGGTAAAAATGCTAGGCTTTGGGTGGATCTCACATCAGCCCATTTAACTGTGAGGGCTGGACATACCTTGGAGGTTATCTGACCAGCTCCTTATTATTCTCACAAGACAAAGACAAGAGTCAGAGAAACTTGGCATGGGGCCACTATACTTTATGGCATTTCTGACAAGAAGAAAACATCACAATTTTCAAGTTTGTTGACTAAATAAGTCCTAGAGTTCCTCTTTGCAACAGTCTATACCCATTGTTTATATTTTCTTAATTATGCTGCATTCCAGAAGGGTTTGATTTGTGCCTAACATTAAATATATTCCATAACTCCTAGTAAGCTGGATTTTGGAACAAATCCAGAAAAAACAAAAACCTGGCTTTGGCAGTCTGTATACTTTGCCTGACAGTGAACAGTTACTGATGCATCTCTTGTTTGATAGTAACTGTTTGGGTTAGAAAGAAATAGACATCCTCCCTGCTGTGGCATAGCTTACATCATGTAGCTTACGGTTTGTTGTGGAAATGGACAAGAAAATTGGGGATCACAAGGAAGAGAGAAGTGAGAGATGAGAGCACAGAGAAGATGGAGCTCTGTCAGCATCTGAAGAAGATTCCCAAGGGCTTTTCAGACCACAGGGAGTCAGAACAAAATGATGACATGCAGGAATTTTAGGTAGCTCCAAATGGCTGAGGTCTGGGTGGCATGTAGAGACGTAAAGGATATGAAGAAAAAGATGAGCAAAAGCGAGATCAGTATGGGCTAGAGGTTTGAAATTTGACCAAAATTATGAGGTACTATCGAAAGACTTAGGAATTCTGACAACTTTGCAATTTATGCAGATTTCCCTGGCAGCACTGAGAATGGGGAAAACAAGGCTGGCTTGGCATCAGGTTGGGAGGGAAGGTGAGGAGAGGTGAGTCTGAGCTCAGGTAGGGCTGAGGGAATGAGGGTGCTGATATGGCACTGGTGGACTCCACTGGACTGGGTATCCATTGGATGTGATGGTAAACGAGAGGAAGGTCGTCCAGACCCGTTGGCCTGAGAAGACTCTGACAGTGTTGACCCCGTCACTATCTCTGATCAGGAAGCAGGACTGGAGCAGAAAGTATCCTGCATTTCAGGCTTGTTGAGTTTGGCAGCGTATGGGACAGCTGTGTAGTTCACCACTGTGGCAAGCTGGAGCCATTGGCCTGAGTGTGGAACTGAACTGTAGGCAAGGATGGAGCTACCCAGAGAGGTGCTGGGAGAAGACCAGGCAGGAACAAGCAATGAATGGAGCAGTTCTCTTGAAGCAAGAGCACCATCTGAGGAGAGCCCAGGAAGAAAGGACAGATACTAGGAAAGCCCAGAAATGAAAGGGGGCTGTGGAGAAGTTTTAGGAAAAAGGAAGTCATGGAGTGCAGCAAGAGTAGCAGGGAGGCCAAGCTTGGCAACTGAGCAGCCCTAGCAGCATGGAAGTCTTGTGCAATGTGACTACATGAGAAGGTCCCACGACCACTTGGTGATCAGCTGCCATTTCCAAATACTAACAGTGAAAGTTCTAAGAGAACAAAGCTAGTAAAAATGCTTTTAGTTTGAAGAATTTGCTTGTAATGGCAGTGTGTGGATTGCAAGGTAGAAGATTTACAGCCCAATGGTGAGATAGATGGTTTCCACTCTTGAACCTCTACCCATCATCAAGATGGTGACCTTGAGCTAAGTTATTTTACCCTACATGCTTCAGTGTCTTTATCTGTAAATTAGTGCTTGCCCCACCCCTGCTTGTTTTTCCTAGATAGCACTTATCACCTTCTGCAATTACCAGTGTACTTACTACTTACTTTCATTTTCCACACACTAAAATATAAGGTGTATGATAATGGAGGTTTTCTGTTTGGCACACTGTGAATCCCCAAGGCCTCGTGTAGTGTCTGGCCCCCATACATATTTGTTGAGTGGATGGATAGATGAATGAATAAGAAACATAGCACTAAACATGAAGTGTTTAGCGGCAGGGGTAGTGTTGTTATTCACTCCAGCTGGGATAAAAGCCATTACCAAGGACCATTGTTAAGTCAGCATAATCAGCCCAGGGCCTAGTGCCTTTTGAGGCCCAACCCCCAGTTTCTGCTTTGCACAAAGCACTGTTCATTGCTGGAAAGTGGAGGACCTCACCTTGGCTGCTGCAGGGACAAGTGAATCACAGATGGAGAGAAACTGAAGGAGCACATGTGGGAGAGGAATGGGCAGTAGGATTCTTAGATAGAACTCCTGGAAAGCTCCCAGAAAGCCTTCTCTTGACAACCCTGGCCCTGGCAGACAAATCGGGACATCAAAGAGTTCTCCCCAAGCCCACACCTACAGAGAGGTCCTGCAGACTCCACTGAAAGGGCCAGGATGTTGTGGTGACAGGAAACCATTTTCTCTGACCAGAACTGATGTCTTAAAGACACAAGCAGTGAAGGTTGAGAAAAATGAAAGAAAGATCACTGACTTGCTTTATTCATCTGTGCATTAATGATGGCAAAAATGATGCCTAAATCTTTCATCTTCAAAGTGCATTGCACCATGAACCAACGTGCATACTGGACTCAGCTGTGCACGGCTGGTTATGCAGAATGTGTTGTTCAGATGGAAAAGGCTCCACTCCCCTGCAGCCTGCTAACTTGACACACTCGGAAAGGAAAGTCTGGCATCGAGACATAAATCTAAACTAAAATCAAAATAGCAAACACCCACATGCATTAACTGGACCCATTTACTTTTACCCAACCAATACTCTTTCACTCCTTAGCCCCAGGACATAGTTCTTTGTTGTTACCATTCATTTCTTTTTTCCTTTTTAGGTTTTTTCTATACGCCCTCCCAAGTACATCCCAGCCATGTACTTTAGATTCCAGACCCTCTTATGGAAAGCATATGTTTTAAGGAACATATTGTACCATGTTGAAGCCTGGAGCCAATTGTATTTCTATTCCAGGATTAAGTGAGAAGCAACAGTTGTTTGTGTGGCTGGGAGGAATCTCAGAGTTAGTTGGGCTGCCAAAAGAACTATACATAAAACAGAGTTTCCAAAAGGTCTTTAAAAATAGAAGGGTATCTCTTGTTGACCTGTGTGCCAGTCATTCATTCATTCATCTACTTTGTTCCTGTAACACATACTGAAAATTTACCATGTGCTAGTTGCATGCTTAGTGTTGACAATACAGAAAAGTGTGCTCAGTTTCTGGCCTCCAGGAGCTCCGAGTCTGGAGAAGGAAGCAGTTATATCTGGACAGCAGATGGGTTTACCAAGGCCAGATTCCAAGCACAGTCTGACTCCTGTCATGGGCAGGAGTCAAGGGATGATGGGGGAGAATTTTTCAGAGGAGAGGGGGTGCTTTTAAGAGAGAATAACAAGGGCTGGGGATTTAGCTTAGTGGTTCCTCCTCCTGCCTCGCAAGCACAGGAGGACTTGATCTGGGAGATGGAAGAGACATCAGATTCTAAGATGATTCCTGTTTGTGTGGCTCAGATGACTACAAAGGTGATGCTGTTAGAAATTCCAAAGAAGGGCAGATTTGAGAGAGAGACTGAATATTAAACTTGAAGCCTGTTGAGTTTAGGGATCTGGCAAGGCATCCAAGTGATAATGTACAATAAGCCCCATAAAGATGCTTAACCTGAAGACATAGATGTGGGAAGTATGTAAATGATGGTTGAAGGCAGATAAGAAAATGAACCCCTCGGGGATGTTGTGTTAAGTGAGAAGAGCAAGGGTCCAAGGATGGAGCCACCAGCAATACTGACATTTAAAGGGACGACCAAGGAGGGAAACCTGTAGAGAAATCTAAAAAGAAACAAAATTAGAAAGGTGGAAAGAACAACTAAGAGAGTGTTATCATGGTAGCCAATAAGGGTATAAATGCCACAGAAATTTCTGTTAGATGGAGGCAGATATCCATTGCCTCCTGCACTATAATGGGCAATTCCAGAGGATAGTGGGGCAACAGCAGGGTTGCTGTTGATGTATAGTATATGGAGTCGAAGTGGTCTACAATGGTAGCCAAAGAGAGGAAAAGAGCAGGATGTTCAGAGGGGATAAGTAGTTGAGTATTTCTTTTTTAAGATGAGTTTTGTAACTCTTCCTACACCTACCTGTTCTGAAGATCTTTAGATTCCTCCCTCCCTCCCTGCCTCCCTCCCTTCTTTCCATTCCCTAAGCTGCTCACAGAAAACTAAAAAGATAGTTAGAAGGCATGCCTGATATCCTGAGCTTTCCAAAGAACCCTTCAGATAAGTTGAGCTTTAAGTCCACGCTAGGCTATAATCTCCTTGAGATCGGGCTCTGGCGCCCTTCGCCTTGGTACACCCCTCCTCCATTACCTGCCAAGAGCTCTGTTCATGGGCATTTGTGTAGCACCTGGCCTGTGCCAAAAACTGTGTAGGTAAACTGGGAGCTGAGCAGTGAGCCAGGCAGATGCAAGACCTGCCCTGGTATCTAGTCAAGTGTGTAGAGGGGACAGCCAGCAAGGAAACCAGCTCACAAACAAAAAGAGTATCCATGGGGTATTTCCATGAAGGAAATGAACATAACTGTATGTCAAAGAAGGAAAGCAAGTTTATGCTGAGACTAGAACCAATATGAGGAATAAATGGTCCCTCGGACTTCTCTTGTGCCTTGGCTTAAACTTTGGTTTCAATACATCTTTATTTAAAGATCTGTAAAAAGGTGCCTTGTTCTACATTGTCTTGGCCAGTGAGTTTACTAAGCACTATCACTCCTGATGGCTAGTAAATCACAATCTCCATGAAGTTTGTTTCCCCCACCTGCTTGATGAGGGTAGCAGCCCCAGGGCTCCGTCTGATTCCGGTGTTGTCCATTTTACAGGTGAGCCGGCCTCATCCTGGTGACCACCCCCTCCTGATGCTCTTTGTGATGGGTGGCATCACAGTCTCCGAAGCCAAACTGGTCAAAGACCTTGCGGCATCCCTGAAACCAGGAACCCAGGTACTGAGTTGTGGGTGATGTAACAAGAGTCTGGAGTCAAGAACGGGAAGGTCCGGTGAGGGCACTGGCCTACCTTCCTTCTCTCCTACCTGCCGGTGCGTGTGTCACACTCTCCTGCCTGCCTGAGGACTAGTCATCCTCCTGGTTAGACCCAGGCTGACACCCCTGGCCACCTCTACTCCTCACCCTGGCAGAGTTCACCGTGACAGATTAAGCTCTCAAGCTTAGCAAATGAGCACAAAGTGAAATCCCTGTTGTGTGCAAAATAAACTCCTCTGCAGATAAGTGCGATAGGGAGGAGAGAGGTGGGGAGAGGAGGGGAGGAAGGAGAGCTCTCTTTTTCCCAATCCTTTCCTTGGAGAAAGTCTTCTTTCCTGACTAAAAAAGTTCTCATCCCCTGGCTCGACTGAGGAAGGCACCTCCTGAAGGCCACCCAAACAGCCACAAGAGTGCGATGGGTGTCTCCTCAAGCTTCCGCAGCACACCTGTGCTGGGCACCAGTCCCCTCTCCTCACTTGCTTACTTCCTGGTGTGGGGCTCCGTGGCCAGAAAGCTCTGGCCAGCTTTGCAGCTAGATGGTGGCCATAAGGCTAGCAGAAGCTGATGATTGTGAGAAGAAAATAATAGGAAAGAACTCTCCCAGGAAATACTGGGGACATTGAGCTCAGAAAAAAGAGAAGGCCAAGTGGCCGAGTGGGCACCCTGCCATCCCCTGCTTTTCATAGATGGCACAGGCATGTCACCCACCCACACTTTCATGTGGTTCTATGTTTCTGCAGTTGAATGTTTTGTGAGGATGGAATTTTTAAAAAGTAGACCTAGAAATATGCTCCCACACGTGTAATTTTCCACATGACTTTAGGGTTTCAAGGAGACCTCATACTTGCCTCCAGGTTATTTTTAAATTGATAGGAAACCCCATGTAGGAAGATTGGTGACACCACCACCAACAGCAACAACTACAAAATCAGAAGGGACAAAGGCAAAAAGATGATCTGAAATGTCACACACTGAGAGCCCGAAGCAGAGCACACTGGGATCTCTGGGACAAAGTGGCAGCAGGTCAGACAACTCACAAAAAGCTTTCTAGAATGGCTAATCCCACTGTGGCACCATCCAAACCTCTTCTGTGTTTAACACAGGTGTGTGTGCAAGCAGGATCACATAGAGCCGCAACTGTGGTATGCACTCAAAAAACAGTTATTCGTGCAGATGAATATGAGTGTTGGTGCCTATGCCTACATGATTTACTTTAGGAAAGAATCTCCCCAATTTGAAAGAAAAGGAAAGAAAAAATTACTCCTGCTCCCTTTGATTCCCCATTTGATTTGCTTTCTCCTATCCCTCCCTCTCTTTTCCCTCATTCTTCTCTTTGGTGAGTTTTGCTTTTTCTTCTTCTCTGTTAGAAGTCAGCAGAGGGTTAGGAAGTCCAAATCCTAGCCTTCTCTGCTGCCTCCGCATTCAGCAGAAATAGAACAGGAAGATGCTGGCACCTGCAAATTACAGTGGAAGAGGCGCAGAGGAAGCCAAGTGTGCTGGGTGACTGCTAGGGCTGGGCTGTTCCTGCTCAGTGTGGGAGCAGGCTGAGCACAAGCACTGAACAGTCCCTCTTCCTGCCACCAGAGCGGAACGCCAGAGTGGGGCCTGGCAGCTGCTGAAGGCACTTGGTTCCTTAGCTTTTGGGAATCTTGTGTCCTCCACCAGCAATTTTTATGTCGTATTTCTGCCTTGTCCCAGATGCCTGTTGTTGATGGATGAGTTTCATCTTCAATTATTCCATAGTGGAACTGCTTGCTATTAGCAGCACTTGGTAGCATGTAAATCATAGTCACCTTGACTTAATTTGTACTTTTCGATAAAAAATGTTCTGGATGTGCTAAATGCCCTGTTTCTCCTGTTAAGTATAAAATCGACCTGCAGTCAGCAAAGATTCTCTCCACACTAGTAGTTGTTGTGGAAGGTGCTCCAGTAGTAGATGGTACAGGACAGTGCGGTGGACGGCCACTGCTCGGGGCCTGGGCAGTACCCTGTGTGCTCCACCTGGGGAGGAGGCTGCTTCTGCAGTCGGGCTTGGCAGGTGCTGAGTGACGGTGGGACGGCCAGGAGCTGTGTGTCGGGGTTACAGTCAGCTGACTCCTGATCCCAAATGATACCTAGGCCTGAAGTGAGGAGAAGAAACAGCAAAACTCACCAAAGAGAAGAAGGAGGGAAAAGAGAGGGAGGGATAGGAGAAAGAAAAGGATAAAGACACAGAAAGGGGAGAAAGAGGAATAGAAAACTCGAGCACACACAAGCTATGTGGTGGGCAAAGAATGAAGGCCAAACCTGGGTGTTTCCATCAGGCTTCAGTGGCCTGAGAAAAGGCTGGTCTAGCAAGACACAGTGGTACACACCTGTGACCCCAGCACTCTGGGAGGCTGAGGCAGGTGGATTGCAAGTTTTAATCCAGCCTAGGCAACTCAACAATTTAGTAAGACCATGGCTCAAAATAAAAAATAGATGGTTGGGGATGTAGCTTGTCATGAAGGCCATGGGTTCAATCCCCAGTAACCACAATAATAATCATGATAAGAAGGGGAAAGAGAAGAGGAGGAGAAGAAGGAAAGGCAGTTCTCTGAAAGGAATTCTCTAAAGTTTAATATCACAAGTTAGATAGCTCCAGTTAGAAATTTTTGATTTCATCTGATAGGAATGTTTTAGGCTGTTCTGAATGTTTTCAATTTTTGAGGGGGGCTCCCCACATTTGCAGCCCGTTTTAGAATTTAACAAACTATGTTAGCCCGATGTAGAACCAGCTATAGTTGAATTAAAAAAAAAAAAAAAAAAAAAA